TTGACCATTTATTCGAAGCTGACTTGGCAGTTGATGAATTGAAGAGATTATAGAGTCGTTGATTTTTTTTGTGTTGGAGGAAGGAAGTGTCCAAATATGATTTGTTGAAAGTAAACAAAATTGTGGACCACTCTTCCCCTCATGACAATCCGATGAATCGGGCGTCATGCCTTTATTCTTTTATTCATGAACCTCAGCTGTGCGCGAACCTCAGTAGTGCTCGGAACTCTTCGTGCGCGAACCTGAGCTATGCGAGAAATTCTTCGTGCGCGAACTCGAGCTGTGCATGAAACTCTCTGTGCGCGAACCCTTAGTTGTGCGCGAAACAATTCGTCCGCAAACCTTTGTTTTGCACATCAATGTCCTTGTGTGATCCCTACTTCACGCATCACCTGCTTTGTGCGAAAATCTGTACTTTGCAAAAACAGATCCTTTAGTCAACCAACTGCTCACCTCGATCAACAACAACATGGACGCTCTATCCATCGGAAATGACACCAGACCACTCATTCTTCGTTAGGGCGAGTATATGGCATGGAAGAACAAATTCCTGAACTTTCTTGAAAGTAAAGACCACTCTTCTGGCTTGTTGGACTCGATCACTAACGGTCTAGCGCAGCTACTAATAGCTATTGAAGGAAACCACGAGAACAACCCCCCTAGTTGGTGACACACAAAGACTGAAGACTAAAGAAGAATATGATGAACAAGATAATACCAGAATCCGTGATGACCTTCTTGCCAAGACTTATTGTAACACCCCCAATTTCCCACCCAAACAATACTTAAAATAATTTATTTAAAAAGAAATGGTGAATTTTATTTAGAAATACTCAAAATATTGCAGCGGAATAACCAAAAGGAAATCGAGTGTGTTACCGCCACACTTAGCAAAACCATCGCTAAGTGCACAGACAAAACAAAATGTACTTAAACAAACCAAAGTAAAGTAAAAGTAGCAAGAAAGTCTCATTACAAGTCCTTGAAACAAAGTTCATAAATAAAAGTTTTATTGCTAATAATATCTCCAATGGGCGCTCTTAAAAATCCAACCAAGCATATCATCATTCACATCATAATCATCTGTACAAAAGAAGAAAGGCAAAGAAAACAAAAGAAATGAAAATTAGCTTGAAATGCTAATTAACCCCCACCCAACACCGTAAAATAATTAGGTTTGGCAAAAATAATAGTTTATATTATATATATATATACGAAAATGATTTTTAAATAGAAAAGTAGTTTCCACAAAGTGTGTTTCTTTCAAAAAGGCATCATCCTCAAGTAAAATGTTTCCAAAGTATAATTTACCCACCAAGTGCTTGAAAGTACCACAATTGTCTTATCCTTGAGTTTCTCAAAAATCTCTTTTCCACTAAACCTCCTAGTAATCTAGAAGGATGATGCTCAACATGTTGTTGAGCCCGGTAAACCGTTGTTATGTATAGTTATACATAACTGAGCTTCTACCTAGCTTAAGTGTGCACACTCTCTAATAAGGATTCCAAGCCCTCTGAGTAGTAAGAAGTCCAAAGTAGCCAAGATTTTTTTACCAACTACCCCACCAAATACTCATCGTTCGGGATTTTTCTACCAAACACGCCACAACCATTAATTCAATTTGTTCGGATTGGTTAATGAACCCACCAAAGTCATTCATTTAAATTGTTCGGATTGGTTACCGAACCCACCAAGCAAGTAGTAAGATCCCTAATCACCCTCCATATTTATTCGGATGTGGAAAACCAACACCGCGGATTTCTCCCGCGATGCTACACATTATGAATGGTTCATTTTATCTTGATTATTTTCCGAAAGTGTTATATCTATTACTCATAGATATAGTTGTACAGTAAGGATTGTTACCCATAAAATATCAAATTCACATTTTCCCAAAAATTTCCACATTCAATACCTAACACAAATAACTCAAATATTACATAAATATTCTCAATCGAAATCCATAAAGTTACACATAATCACAATCTCAACAACAATTGCTCATATAACAAAAGTATATATCATATAACAAAAGTATATATCATACGTAGTATTATATAATATATAAGGTAAAAAGGCATTTTGATTGACATAGGACTTATCAAGCTCCAAGTACTTCTAGTAAAATCCTTTACCTTGCTCCTCACTCAAATCACCTTCTATTTAGAATCAAAAATCAACATCGTATCTAATTATAATCAAAATCATTGCCCTTTATTTATAATCCTCTCTTATGATTGAATTGCTTCAATAATAATTGATTTCTCTAATAGTGCACACTAATTTATTTTTATGCTTAATTAGTACATTTGTCAGCTTATTTAAATAGTCCAACATAATTGATGGGGCTAAACTTGCAAGTGTACAAGTGCCGATATAGTAATAAATTCCGGTAAAATACCGGGTCGAATCCACAAGGAAACATTGTTTAATTCAAGTCCGAGAGTAGATAACTTTAAATGAAGAAATTGAATAAAGTGCAGGGATTTTGATTTGTGTTTTATATTTTTGGTTTTTTCACTTTTTGTTCAACAAGATAATTGTTAACTAACTTTGAGTTCAAGATAAATGATAACAACAACTAAGGCTTCGGGAATCACTTAAATGCTTTAATAGGGTCGAATATTAGTTCTTTACCAATAATTATGAATACGATGTCGCTAATATATTCTCAACTCCGGTTAAGGCATCGAGAGCGTGGTTTTCGTTACGTGTAAGTCCCGTTACGGCTTACATTCATCTACCGAAAACCCCGTTGAATATCAAGACATCACACCCGTATCATATAAGACCGGATATATTTCTATTCTCGGTACTATATATGTTTATCCTTTAATGTTCATAGTTTAAACTTCAACGTTAATTGCAAGTATAAACTAAATTTAACATACTTCTATGTTGTACACCATAGTCATAAACAATCAATATATAAAGGATAAATCACAATTTATTGGTTTAGAACTTTTATCAAACACCTAGTGGGCATAGAAGTTCATCCCTAGCCTTAGCTAAGAAATTAGCCTCTAATGCTCATATTAATCACAATACAATAATAAATGTAATGGAACGTGAAATTACAAAAGAAAATAATACCGAAACACCAATGATTTCGGAGGATGAACTTCCCTCCTCAAGAATTTGAAGAAAATACCAAGAACAAAAATATCAAAGCTAAGAATTAATCTATGGAATGGAATGCATCTGTATGATGAATTGAGGGCTTTATATAGGCTAAAGAATGACATCTTTTAGTCTATTCAAGCCCAACAAACAGGTGTGGAGGAGATATCTGATCAAATATGAAGAAGATGAAGTTTCCCATCAAGAATTCTTTTGCACGTAGCTGTGTTTGTAGCAGAAATCGGAACAACCGGCGCCGGTTATGAGGTGTCCGGTGTCGGTCGTGTGCAAAAATGCACCGGTCGCTCCGCGCCGGTTGGAAACAGGCTGCTTTTGAAAAAAACAAACGACCGGCGCCGGATGTATGATGACCGGCGCCGGTTCCTGCACCCAAATTTGTACTTAGCTTCTTTTTTTCTTTTGATGTCCGAAATTTATCCATAAGTGCCGGTTTTCGACCCCTTTTGGCTTTTGACCCGATTTTTGCTGTTCCAAGCCGCATTGCATGTTTCCGCTCATTCGGGAATATTTACCTGTGTTTGCTTGTATTTTTGTACAGATAATTATAATCACTTATGTAAAACATAAGTAATTATTGTGCTTATCAAATTCCCCCACACTTGAGCATTGCTTGTCCTCAAGCAATTTCTTTGTATTGATGCATAATTAGAAAAGAAACTAAACCTATGCAAATTAAAAGTTTAATAAGATGTTAAAAGTTAGATATAAACTCTTTAATATTTCTCGAGCCAAAAACCTTTTTCTATTACTCACAATAAATGTATTTAAGATTAAGAAAAATATTTAAACGCTTGATGGGTTTATTTTGTGACAATTTAGGCAATGTGTGGGTATGTCGGGATTTTTTTTTGTTTTTTGGGTGGACTGACAACTTGATTTTGTAGAGAAGACTATTCTAGGAGAACATGAGTTTTTTTTGTTCTCCGTAATTATATATCTAGATTGTCAGAAATGAGGAGAATCCGACAATAGAGTGATTTGGAGTTGGGATGAAACTTTTATTTTGAATTTGCACTCTATGCACATTTGTATGGATTTGGAACATTGTCACAAATTTGAGTGGAAGTGATGGTTTCAAGATTAATTAATCTAAAAATACATTTTTGTGAGTAAAAGAAAATCTTTCTCAACCAAAACCCTTAAAAGAGAGAATATCAAAAATTTTAACCTTCCTATAAAAAATTTAGTTTGCAAAAAAAAGTTTCTCAACCAATTATTCACCCCCCACACTTGATTTACATTGTCCTCAATGTAGAAGCCATAAGAACATAAAAACTTCAATCCCCCATAAAGTGTGTGTTTAGAGAAGAGTATGTCATATGAAATAACAAGAAGGGGAACCTAATTTTGTGGGTCGGGAGGGGGTGCCCAAATTGACCATAGTAGTGTTGGGTGAATTGCCCAAACCTTCGGTCAATGTGGTCCAAATGCTCTTCCATCCTTGTTTGACGGGTGCGGAGGTCCTCTTGGTTAGCTTCGTACACGTCCATCCGCGTATGCATACAGTCAATGGACTCAACAATATAATCAATGCCATGTGCCATAGTTCGCCGTGGCCGGGCTACGGGTTGTGCGGCGGCTTCTCCCATCTCTTCGTCCCCATTATCATCCTTGCGAACCCATGCACCTCCCACCTTCTTGAAGTGGAGGGACACCATAGTGCTTGGCCTCAAAATTTGGGCTTCGGTGGTGTACTCTACCTCTTCATTTCTAAGATCGACGCCAAAACTCCTGAAAATCATTGTGAGTAAAAGAGGATAAATAAAGTTTTTATCACATCTTTTAGTTTTGACGACGCCCCTCATTTCTGTCATGATGAGAGGGTCCAACGGAATGCCCTCGATTTCCCCAAGCCCGTTCATCATTTTGTGCATGAGATAGAGGTCCAACCGCCGAAGCACATGCGTGTCACTAGCTCTTGGCAAGATGTTGAAGCTCAAAAGGTATGCAATTAGCCTCTCTCGGGGTTCAAGAACACGGGCCTTGAGTTCTTCATCGAATCCATAGTTGTTCATGACATCGATCTCCTTGTAAGTGGGGTCGGTGAGCACCACTACAGAGTTCATTTCAACCGGATGACCGTCGTTGGGGACGCGAAGCAAGTTGCTCAATTGTTGTTTGCTAATGGTGATCTTTGTGCCTTTAACAGTGCTCACAATATTCCCAAACGGGTCCATTTTCTTCTCAATATTGCCATAGAACTCCCATACAAGCGTCGGGTAGAATGCCCCAGTCAAAGTGAGCATGACGGCCCATCCCAATTTGTGAAAAGCATCGGAGAGTCGATAGAGAGCTTCGATCTCCGGATGCACGGTCTTTTCAATCACAATCTTCCACTTCTTCCTTTGATCGTACCAAGCTTCATTCTCCGTGGAGGTGAAACGTGGTACGGATGAAGAGGAAGAAGTAGCATCATTTCGGCGTTTAGGAGCCATTTGACCTGCACAATTAGTTCAACATATACACATAACACCATTTGTTCATCAATTCAAGGTAAGATTTCAAAAATTTCTTCAATTTCCCCAAATTTCATGTTCATTCAAGAATTCTTGCAACAATCATGTTTAGAAGATTATATATCAACAACAAGTCATATCAACATATCTCTAAGCATGAATTAAAAGAATTCATCAATGAACAAGAAATTCAAAATTAGGGTTCTTGAGAAAATTTGCAAGAACTTCCCCTAATTTTGAACTTTAATCTCAAAAATTTTGGCAACAAACAAGTTTATATACATCACGTGAGCATATGGAGGCAATTTTCATCAATGATAAGCATCTATTTTGCCAAAAATTGAAAGAAAGAATAAATTTCAAAAATTGGAGAAAGTTGGGATTAAAGCCAAAATACCTTGAATTGAAGCTCAAATTGGGATGAAGAAGCTTGAGAATTGATGCTTGATGCTTAATTGGAACTCCTAAGGGTGACTTTTGGCTTGGGATGGCGGTTTTGGGTGGTTTGGGGGTGTTTTCCGGCGAAGAGCTCTCAAGATTTGGGGGTGGGTTTCGAAAATAATGTCTGAGGAGCGACTCTGGGGTTTTTTTAAACGGAAAGACCGGCACCGGATGTGTGATGACCGGCGCCGGTTATGCATTTTTGATGCGTTCCGAGCTCACTGTCTTGGACCGGGGCCGATTGCCTCTAACCGGGGCCGGTCGATCCGTAATATTATTATTATTATTATTTTGAATTCAATTATAAATAAACATTAAAAACAAATGTACATGTTTATTTATAATTGAAATTTTTGATGTTGGGTTGCCTCCCAATTAGCGCTCAGTTTAACGTCATATGCTGGACGCAATGTACCTTTATTCTTCCAACTGACATGCAGTGATCGCCGAAGTGATGTGGTACTCCATATATGGCTTGAGATGGTGACCATTTACAAGGAATGGTGCTTGATCACCATCTTGAATCATCATTGATCCGTATGGTCGGACCTCGGTGATCGTGTAAGGCCCCGACCATCGACATTTGAGCTTTCCAGGAAATAGACGGAGTCTTGTGTTGAAAAGTAATACCTTTTGTCCGACGTAGAATTCCCTCCGATTTATGTTTTTGTCGTGCCAAGCTTTGACCTTCTCTTTGTAGATGCGGGAGTTCTCATATGCATCTCTTCGGAGCTCTTCTAGCTCATTGATTTGAAGCATCCTCTTTTCTCTCCCAAGAGTGTTATCAAGATTTAATTGGGAAATAGCCCAATGAGACTTGTGCTCAAGCTCCACAGGGAGGTGACATGGTTTTCCATAAACGAGCCGAAAAAGGGACATACCGAGTGGAGTTTTGTAGGCCGTTCGGTATGCCCATAAGGCATCATCAAGCTTTAGTGACCAATCTTTCCTAGAAGAGTTGACCGTCTTCTCAAGAATGGATTTTATCTCCCGGTTGGAAACCTCCACTTGACCATTAGTTTGAGGATGGTAAGTGGCTCCAATCTTGAACATGCATCCATACTTCTTTAAGAGGCCGGTAAAATGAGCATTTTTGAAATGAGTACCATTATCACTAATGATACTCCTAGGAACCCCAAATCTTGAGAAGATGTTCTTTTTCACAAACTCCACCACCGATTTAGCGGTGTTGTCCGGTAGAGCAATGGCCTCCACCCATTTGGATACATAATCAACTGCAACAAGGATGTATTCTTTGCCATGAGAGTTAGGAAAAGGACCCATGAAGTCTATTCCCCATACATCAAATATTTCCACTACAAGAATCATGTTTTGTGGCATTTAATTCATCCGGCTCAAATTTCCTGTGCGTTGACAACGGTCACAAGCTAGGACAAAACTTCTTGCATCTTTGAAAAGTGTCGGCCAGAAAAATCCACATTGGAGGATTTTAGCCGTTGTTCGGTCCGGACCATGATGACCTCCACAAGGAAGATTATGACAATGCTCGAGGATTGATAACATCTCTTCATTTGGGACACACCGTCGTATGATTCCATCAGCACAATGCTTGAAAAGATATGGCTCATCCCAATAGTAGTGTTTGACATCATTTAAAAATTTCTTTCTTTGATGAAAAGTGAGCTCTTGGGGAAGGATTTCTTTAGCAAGATAATTCACAAAATCTGTGAACCAAGGTAAAGGGACTCCCTTCACCTCCATAAGTTGCTCATAAGGAAAATCATCATGAATTACCTCCATATTAGTAGTGGTATTTGGCTCAAAGCGAGAGAGGTGATCCGCAACAAGATTTTCACTTCCTTTCTTATCTCGGATCTCAAGGTCAAACTCTTGAAGTAATAGCACCCACCGGATTAATCGTGGTTTGGCATCATTTTTTGTTCATAAGGTACCGGATGGCGGAGTGATCGGTGTAAACAATCACCTTTTGGCCAATGAGATAAGACCGGAATTTGTCAAAGGCATAGATGACGGCTAGGAACTCCTTCTCCGTTGTTGCATAGTTGAGTTCCGCATCATGAAGTAACCTCGATGCATAATATATGGCATGAAGTTTCTTTTCTCTTCTTTGACCAACTACAACTCCAATGGCATGGTCACTAGCATCGCACATCAACTCAAATGGTAGAGACCAATCCGGTGAGATGATTATTGGAGCCGTAGTAAGAGCCTTTTTGAGAGTGTTGAAGGCTAATAGGCAATATGGAGAGAAATCAAAAGTGGTATCCTTGGCAAGTAAATCGCAAAGTGGTTTTGCGATTTTTGAGAAATCTTTGATGAATCGCCGGTAAAAACCGGCATGCCCCAAGAAACTTTGAATGGCTTTTACCGAATGAGGAGGTGACAATTTTTCAATAACCTCCACTTTAGCTTGATCAACTTCAATGCCTTGAGGGGATATTTTATGCCCCAAGACATTGCCTTCGGTCACCATAAAGTGACATTTCTCCCAATTAAGAGCAAGATGGGTTTCTTCACATCGGATGAGCACTTTTTCAAGATTATTTAGGCATATATCAAATGAGTTTCCAAAGACTGAAAAATCATCCATAAATACCTCCATAAAATCTCCCACCATATCCGAAAAATTAGCCATGACGCACCTTTGAAAGGTCCCCGGTGCATTGCAAAGTCCAAACAGCATCCTCCGGTAAGCGAATGTCCCAAAAGGACAAGTAAAGGTGGTTTTCTCTCGATCTTCGGGTGAAATAGCTATTTGAAAATAGCCCGAGAACCCATCCAAGAAGCAATAGAATTCATGACCGGCTACTCTCTCTAGCATTTCATCCATGAATGGTAGGGGGAAATGATCTTTTCTTGTGTCGACATTCAGTTTTCGGTAGTCAATGCGCATCCTCCACCCGGTAACCATTCTAGTAGGAATTAATTCATTCTTACTATTGGATATGACGGTGATTCCTCCTTTCTTCGGGACTACTTGCACGGGACTCACATAGTTACTATCGGATATGGGATAGATGATACCATAGTCAAGGAGTTTGAGAACTTCCTCATTGACCACCTCCTTCATATTTGGATTGAGCCTCCTTTGATGTTCTACTGTTGGTTTGTGATTTTCCTCCATGAGGATCCGATGCATGCATAGAGATGGGCTTATACCCTTGATATCCGCCAAAGACCAAACTATTGATGATATGTGAGCTCTCAATACCCGGAGTAATTTCTCTTCTTGTGAAGGAGAAAGAGTAGAGGAAATTACCACCGGATACGTAGAGTCATTGCCAAGGAATGCATATTTGAGCTGTACCGGTAGAGGTTTGAGAGTAGGCTTTGGAGGAGTTTGACCTGATGGTTGGAGGATGGACTTCCTTTGCCCAAGATCTTCAAATCTTTGCCGGTAAGGTCTATGAATGGTTTCACCTTGCAAGAACATCATTTGTTGGAAAATTTCAGAATTTTTCTCTTCTTCGGTGTGTCCTAGTGTAAGACATGCTTCAAGAGGATCTTTGTGAAGCTCTCTTTCAAACATCTCCTGAGTTATAGTATCAATGATGTCAATACTAAAACACGAGGAGATATCATGATGTTTCTTTAATGAATCCCAAACATGGAATTCTTGTTCATCTTCTCCCACCCGGAATTTAACAACTCCGTTCTTCACATCAATGAGGGCGGCAACGGTAGCTAAGAATGATCTTCCAAGAATAATTGGAATTTCCATTTCTTCCATTCCCAAAATGAGAAAATCCACCAGAAAATAGAATTTTCCCACTTTGACTAGAACATCCTCTATAACACCCAATGGATAACGGATTGTTCTATCCGCCAACTGAAGAGAAACCGTTGTAGATTGAAGTTCCCCCACACCAAGCCTTTTAAAAAGAGAATGATGCATAAGATTTATACTAGCTCTGAGATCACAAAGAGATTTTACCTCTCCAATTTGCCAATAGAACATGGGACGGTGAAGCTTCCGGGATCCTTCAATTTTGGGGGGAGCTTATTTTGAAGGATTGCACTACACTCCTCCGTTAGTGCCACGGTTGCAAATTCCACTAGTTTCTTCTTGTTTGAGAGAATCCCCTTTAGAAATTTGGCATAAGAGGGAATTTCCGCAATAACCTCCGCGAATGGTATGTTAATGCTTAGCTTGGTAAAAATATCAAGAAACTTCTTGCATTGTTTACCATCATCCTTCTTCCTCAATCTTTGTGGATATGGGATAGGAGGAACATAATTTGCCATTGTTGGAGATGGTGATATATGTTCCTCCATATCTTCCTCCTCTCGTGATATTGGTGCATTCTCCGGTGATTTAGGATCCTCCGTTTGTTTGCCACTTTTTGTTGTTATGGCCATGACATTTTCTTTTGGGTTGACTTCCGTTGTTGTGGGGAACCGCCCTTGCTCTCTAGTGATTTTTCCTTGGGCATTTTGCCCAATTTGTACCTCCAAGTTGTGAATGGACGACTTGGTGTATTGCTCTATGTTCTCCATGTGTTGGTGAAGTTTCCGGTTTTGATCTTCAAACCGGAGGTCAAGCTTTGTGAATTGTGAATGGAGATTCCCAATGGATGCCTCCACTCTACTATGATTCTCCTCGTTTTGGGCCTTTACACTAGCCATAACATTTTGAGTGAGGGTTTTCATCATTTCCTCCATGGTTTGCCCTTGTGAAAATCCGGACGGGGGGTTAGACGGACCTCCTTGTGGTTTCCAAGAATTACCTTGGTTAAACCTTTGTTGATTGTTGGAATAGTTGTTGCCTCCTTGATCCCCCATATTCCCATATGAATTCATTTAATTCACATCTTCAATAGTTTGAGGTGAATTACCTTCCGGTTGTGATATACTCTCCACATTGGCCACTTGATTAGCCCCTCCGATCACGGCTTGTAGAGCCGTGTGAATTGAGGCTTGAAGATCTTTGTGCATGGCTTGTTGAAAGTCAGCAAACCGTTTGTCCAATTCATGAGCTATAGACACTTCACTCATACCAGCTACTTTGATATCTCCTCCTTGTAATTGAGGGTTTGAAGCAATGGATTCGAGGATCCTTAATGCCTCCGTTTCAGTTTTGTTGCCAATGTACCCCTCTGCACGGTTATCTACAATGGCTTGGCATGAAGAGTTCAAACCATTGTAGAATGTGTCAATTTGAAGATCAAGGGGAATGCGGTGGTGTGGGCATTGCATCAACAAGGCTTTGAAACGCCTCCATGCATCTTGATATAGTTCTCCAACTTGTTGTTTGAAGTTGAAGATTCGTTGCCTTAGCTCTTGAGTCATTGTGGGTGTGTAATACTTACAAATGAAAGCATTATAGATACCTTCCCACGTTGTAAAACTCGTTGGTGTTTGCTCCAAGAACCATCCCCTTGCCGCCCCTTTCAAAGTGTAGGAAAAGCTTTTGAGTTTGAGATCATCCTCGGAGAGACCATGCCTAGGAATTCCTTGGATGAATCCATAGAACTCGGTGATGAAGTTAAGTGGATTCTCCCCCGGATGACCATGAAATTGAGGCATAACATTGAAGTAGCTATTCTTCATTTCATAGTCCCTTGCCACCTCGCTTAGGACAATACATGAGGGAGTGGCGGCAACCACGGGCCTCTTCCTTTCGTTGAGTGTTAGCATCATCTTTGCTTCTTTTCTTTCCCTCCGATTTTGTTTGAAAGTTCTTTCTATTTCAAGATCAATAGGTTCAAGATGTTTAGAACATTGACTTCTCAATTGCATTCAAACACAAAGCATAGGCTACACACATGAAATAAAAAAATACCACAAGAACAAGTGAAAAGCAACGTGAAATGAAAAATTCAGGACTTTTGATTGATTGATTTTTTTTTTTATTGTTTGGACTTTATTAAACAAGACCGTTTCCCCGGCAACGGCGCCAAAAACTTGATCGCGTTAAACTTGCAAGTGTACAAGTGCCGATATAGTAATAGATTCCGGTAAAATACCGGGTCGAATCCACAAGGAAACATTGTTTAATTCAAGTCCGAGAGTAGATAACTTTAAATGAAGAATTGAATAAAGTGCAGGGATTTTGATTTGTGTTTTATATTTTTGGTTTTTTCACTTTTTGTTCAACAAGATAATCGTTAACTAACTTTGAGTTCAAGATAAATGATAACAACAACTAAGGCTTCGGGAATCACTTAAATGCTTTAATAGGGTTGAATATTAGTTCTTTACCAATAATTATGAATACGATGTCGCTAATATATTCTCAACTCCGGTTAAGGCAGCGAGAGCGTGGTTTTCGTTACGTGTAAGTCCCGTTACGGCTTACATTCATCTACCGAAAACCCCGTTGAATATCAAGACATCACACCCGTATCATATAAGACCGGATATATTTCTATTCTCGGTACTATATATGTTTATCCTTTAATGTTTATAGTTTAGACTTCAACGTTAATTGCAAGTATAAACTAAATTTAACATACTCCTATGTTGTACACCATAGTCATAAACAATCAATATATAAAGGATAAATCACAATTTATTGGTTTAGAACTTTTATCAAACACCTAGTGGGCATAGAAGTTCATCCCTAGCCTTAGCTAAGAAATTAGCCCCTAATGCTCATATTAATCACAATACAATAATAAATGTAATGGAACATGAAATTACAAAGGAAATAATATCTAAATACCAATGATTTCGGAGGATGAACTTCCCTCCTCAAGAATTTGAAGAAAATACCAAGAACAAAAATATCAAAGCTAAGAATTAATCTATGGAATGGAATGCATTTGTATGATGAATTGAGGACTTTATATAGGCTAAAGAATGACATCTTTTAGTCTATTCAAGCCCAACAAACACAAAGCATAGGCTAAAGAATGAATTGAGGAATTTATTCTAATTCACTGGTTTATTTAAGTAAACCAATTACGTTCACGTCATTTATTATTATAATCCAATTACAATAGCAATCCAAATTACACTGTCCAAATTATTATTTGAATCAATCACAAGTTTAATTTTAATAACCAATTATTTTGTTTGATTAAAAATGGCTAATTACTAAAAAGTGATGAATTCAAAAGTGAATAATACAGATTACTATCTATCTTAATCTAAAAGCAAAATGTTTTTTTTGCTACAGGTTTGCCGCTCAAAAATATCAACATCAGATGAGTCAGCTTTTTAATTTACAGAAAAATAAAGATTGGTAAAAATAAATTGTTATTTGGAGGTCTATAGGTTGGAAAATTTGATGCGTGTTGGAAAAACTATGAAATCAAGTCTACTGTACCAATCGACTACACGACGTAAAAACAGTGTTGGTGACACAGTAATGGTGACATGGCACGCATGAAATACACAGTACGTACTAAATTGTAAAACAGTATCAAGCATGCTTCATTAAATGTGATGTGACTGCCTATGCTTGCAACTTGGAGCCTCTTATAGTACTTCTTATTAGCACATCAGAATGCAGTGTTCGGTCACTGTTTTGTGTTGTAGTTACTCAACCTATACATCAAAAATATCATATCAGGCATTAGACATACATGAAACTCCATTTGTTGCTATAAATACATGCGTCCTGTGTGAGGTTCATCCACACTTTCACATAAATAAATTACTCCCTAATTTGTTATGTAAACATGACTACAATGTTGGCTCTAATATGAGAAATGAATCACGCCAAAACTACATCAAAATGCAGCCAAGAGTTGTTGACTGAAGATATAATTTGTGAGAAAACTTGAATAGGTATTTTCTTTGTAGTCTTTCAAATTCATTCTTAAGCTCTATTTTATGGTACTAAACGTATGTAAAAATTCAATTACAGATTTTGTGGGGCAAGTTATTTTTGGAAAATGTCATAATAGTTGCACCAAGGATGAACATCCATTAAAACTAATGGAAATAGTCCTGGGTGACATGAAGTTTGAACATAATGCCCAACCTTTCCATAATAATCTTCACTACAGAAATGCTCAAATATGATATTATGATATTAGAAAATATTAAATTAAATATTTTATGCAATGCTAGATGTGAATTACAGGGAAATAATGTTATAATATGCACTTTTTGTGTATGGATGGCTGAGATGCTGTTAACCTATAAACTCACCGATCCAGATCCTACCATTCAAATTCTTTACGGTTGCAAGGCAAGAAAGTATCAAGGTTGGTTTCTGAATTCATGACCACATTTAATCTTCGTGTATAATCTTCTCATTGGTTGGATAGTTATTTGTGTGAGTAGATTGTATGTGGTTAACATGTTCAATGTAGAGGAAGATGAATTCACTCAATTCAAGTCTGATCTAGGTTTGATCTAAGACTTACCATCATATTTCTTTTTAACAGGAAACTAGGTTAACATTCTCAGGATGGCTAATTATCATTAAACCAGGATGGAGGCATGAGTTGGACATGTGGTATCTTATTCGTTTTCAGTAGAAAAAACCTTTGAAGGTGATATTTGGAATGGAAAGTAGCACTTGCTGACACTTGATCATCTAATGAAAAACCTAACTGTTCTTATTAAAGTTCTCACTTTCCTTTTTGGGATCTCCCTTATTTAAGTTCACACTTCCATTTTAGGAAACAAAACAATCCAAACAGTGTCCAAACAGTGTCCAAACAGTGTCCAAACAGTGTCCAAACAGTGTCCAAACAGTGTCCAAACAGTGTCCAAACAGTGTCCCAACAGTGTCCCAACAGTGTCCCAACAGTGTCCAAACAGTGTCCAAACAGTGTCCCAACAGTGCCAAACAGTGCCAAACAGTGCCAAACAGTGCCAAACAGTGCCAAACAGTGCCAAACAGTGCCAAACAGTGCCAAACAGTGCCAAACAGTGCCAAACAGTGCCAAACAGTGCCAAACAGTGCCAAACAGTGCCAAAACAGTGCCAAAACAGTGTCAAACAGTGTCAAACAGTGTCAAACAGTGCCAAACTATGATAGAGTAGATTATTAGGTTAGTAAATATTCTAATAAAATATTTGATAGATTTAATAGAGTAAATAGATGCATACCCTGAACTATGCCAAGTCTTAACAATTTTGAGAAGATTGGCCGATGAAATAATAAATGAGGTCACATGACAACATCTACATGTTTCACTGGGTCCTCGAATGTAAAAAATTCAATGAAAATAAATTCATTTATAATAAATTTGCCCGTAGAAAATCGTAGAGGCGGTTTTGTATAATTGAAAAGTTATTAAACTGAACTTAAGTTAAATATGAGTTTTGCAAAATTATGTTTTTAAAATACAACCTACAATATATTTGACCCTTCTTTGGGTGATGTTTAGGTGTGAAAAAATAAAAACTTTGGTAATTGAAATTCACACATTGTGTGGTGTAATAACACAGCACATGTGTGGGAAGCATGCCTTGGTTCCATTGTTAAACTCAATGGAAACAGGGAACATGTAATTATATACTATCAGAAATTAAATTTTACTCAATAGTATGTTTTTTCTGTTGAAAGGGTGTTCATCAAATATCAGTGATGAATGGGGAAATTTTTTTGGAATGGCAATTGATACATTGTGTTGAGGCCTAGGGGAAGTTTGGATTGAAGATGTGCGAAGGACTGAAAGTGCTGAACACAGGTTCATTGATCAGGGGAAGTTCTATTATTTTAATTATCATTTAACACCGAATATTGAAAACTACTCTAGACATAGAGTCTGGGTTCTATTGCTAAATTTAAGGGAACTACTCTATGTAAATGTACATAATAATTTGTTTTGCAGTTGAAAGAAAAAGTTTTATGATTGGTCTTCTGTATTTAGATTTTTTTAGAAGAGTTTCTTTTTTGAGAAAAATTGTTTTCACGAAACCACTCTAAATCACACAACAATGTTGAGGAAAATGGTTTTTTTGGAATAATATTTTCAGAATACTACTATAAGTCACAACACATGTTGGGGTAAATTGTTTACTTGGAAAATTGTTGTTGATTTCAACCCTTTGAAGTTAGTTGTCTCATAATATACATATAAGAGCGTAGCGGCATGGAAAAAAATTCAAATGGACACAATGTGTAGAGGAGCGTACCTGGGGTCTAGCCCGGAGTTGGGCATGTCACAAGAACAAAAGAGATAGAAGCATCAAATATCCCTGCACATTTCAACATATAGACATTTGTTAGAAACTTCATAAATGCAACCTTCATGTTCTGCAAAATTAAGTTAGTTTTATCTAAGATCTAAATAGGATTCCATTTCATGATTTAAGCAAATTCAGAATAATTTTTTTGCAGAATATCTACATGTGCAGAAAGAGTGCATTTTTTGTTATCAGATAATATACCAATGGGCACCGCCTGATTGGCTGGCATGTCTAAGGCAATTAGTTTTACTTTGGCAATTCGTATAATAGATTTTATCTTATACAAACAAATCATCAAGTTGATTAAATAATAAATATCATCAGCGATTCAATGCATTCTTTGATTATATAGCTATAGTTAAAATGTTGTAATCCTTGAGGACTGTGCAGAAGGGTGGAAAATATATAATGTCCAAAAAATTCCTAACTGACTTTAGTTAAAACACTTCTAAACCAATTGATTTAAAATTTACATCCTTTAATTGACAGTAAATTGACTTTAGTAAGATAACATCCTTAAGGACTTGCAATTGATTTTAGCTTAAAAAAATATTTGACCCTTCTTTTGAGAGTTTAATTTCCCTTTTGTGACCACAAACCATCACTTATGAGAGACAGACCCTCAAATAACTTATTTCTTGAAACTGTTTTGAAATAAAAGTTTTGGGTGGTCAATGAAAGAAAGACCATCAGATAAGTGAGATTTATGTCAAAAGGTGCTATCCAGAAATGCTTTCTAGCCAAAGCTACTAAGATTGAGTGAGGCACTTGAAGTTCATATCTCTAACGTTTGCTCTCTAGACAGTTGATCATACATTGAGACTACGATGTATTCACGGTGTGTGTACACAAACACACAGTACTTACTAAAATTTGTTTCTGGATTAAAACCCATAAGTTTAACTATATACGGAGTATATAATATCTTTCAAACAACACATATATTAACATGGTATAATATCATTCATTATATAATAGTAGTATATTACTAAATACATACTCCCTCCGTCCCTTATAACATTGTCAACTTTCCCTTTTTGGATGTCCCACTAGCTTTGCCACTTTCCCTTTTAAGTAAAGAATTTGTGGTTATGGTTCATTCTCTCTCTTCTGCACAAACTTCAACCACACAGTTTTTACTTTATTATTCCCCGTGCCGGTCAAACTTGCTAAAGTTATTAGGGACGGAGGGAGTATATGATGTATTCACGGTGTATGCACATATATTAAAACATTTACTTCCTCCGTATATATAGTCCAAGTGAAAACAAATCTGGTGTATTTCTCAAAGCTATGTTTACTCCAACTATATTTATACACAATTTTAAGTAAAAGTTTTAATATATGCGCATAATAACATGGCTAAAACAAAAGAAATTGCTAGATTTTAGTCATATTACCCAATTTCAGGAAAAAAACCCTTGTGGTTATTTGAATACAAGATCTGGATGTAGAAATGATAGAATAACTAGAAAATGAACAAATCTTGAAGTGAGATCGTGTCAAAGAAACATGCACTGGTCATGGTCTCATGAATCGTTCAGAGGCATAAGATGAAATTTTTGGCGTAAACAATAATAATACGGAGTAAATAAAAAGTTAAAGATTTACATCTATCATTTCTAAAGATCTGGGTGGGAAGGTATGCATGATGCATCCCATTGAGGAAAAATCATTGTTAAACCTTCGGCTAAAATAAACTGAGAAATTCGAATAGCAATGGGCGACGGTCGCACAAAACAAGGTAAAATTATGAAAATTAAACGGAAAATTATCAGATCTGAAAATTAAAGCTTCCCGTGAGAGATTAAGTAAGTAGGTCTTTTTTATATGAATGGAAGAAAGGGAAGGAGGTGAATGTATGCATCCGGTGGAGGAGCTAGGGGGGGGCAAGCGCCCCCGCTCCGACTAATTTTTTTTACTAGTATTACTTATAATATGTTTCTTGCCCCGACTTCTTTTTTAATTTTAAAAACAATAAGTTCAACTTAAGTTTATTTTAAGATTAAGTGTTAAAATAAATAAAAAAGTATTTTCAGAAAAAGTAAAAAAAATGAAATATAGAATAAAAGGGGATTAATGTATGTAATACATTTGGCATCCCAATTTGCCAATAATCCGGAGTAGCTCAGTGGAGACAGGTAACACTCCCTTCGTATCACCCGTGTTCGAATCCCCCCAGGACGGATTAAGTTAAACTTGTTTTGCTTTTCTTCCGCCCCAATTCTTCCAATTTTATTTTCTTCAGCCTACAACTCGTCCCACACCGGATGAAATAGAGGATTCACTCCTCATTTGAGCCTATATAATCGCTCCTTCATAGTTGATAAAGATTAAGTTGCTAGTAAAGCTTGAGTGCAAGTATTAGCTACAATATAAACAAATATTGAATACCCATTCGGTTTTTGTGAAAAAACCGAATAACCGGACCGAAAATTCGGTGTCCAAAAAATTGGGTCCCAACTTAGATCGGTTCGGTTTCGGGTTATAGAATATACGAAACCGAAAGATCGGTTCGGTTCGGATATTTCCTATTTCGGTTCGGTTCCCGAACCGAATCCAGCCCTAGTTCTCACTTCTCCCCATTTGTTCTCAGATTCTGCAATTTTCAAGTAAGTTTCTCATCTGCCAATTTATGCCCATATTAATTATTTGCTCTCACCCCTAACGAAAAGTCAAAAATTATTTGTGTGAATCCTCAAATCTCAGTTCTAGATGCAATTTAATGCTATTTGTATAAGGAACATTTTTAATTCATACTTATTTTTGTTATATTTAGGAGTATGAGTTTGGATAAATTTGTAATTAAGACTAAGAGGTCTTTGATTGGAGGTGTTAGTTCTTCAATTGTTCCTAATCAGTCTATCTCTAGTGTTGAAAATGCCACTGCGTCAAATGAAAATATTGCTAGAGATGAGAGGAATGAGAGGGACAAGAGAGCCCGAACAGAAAGTACACATGAATGGGATAATATTAGTGATCCGTTTTTACGAAAACCAATTAATGAATATGCGTCGGGGATTAGGGATGATGTGATGAGAGCATATGTTGTTAAAGGTGCTTGTCAACCAGCATCTCATAAGTTTCCACGAACTGAATTTGGTAAGACATTAAGGAGCTTTCGAGGAGAGTGGTTTAAAACTTGGGAATGGTTGGAATATAGTATTTTTAAAGATGCCGCTTTCTGTTTTTGGTGTTACCTTTTTCATGGGCATGAAGGAAAGAGATTTGGTGATGATGTGTTTGTGAGGACCGGATTTCGTAATTGGAAGAAAGCTCCTGAAAAATTTAGATATCATGTTGGTATTGTAGAGAGTGTGCACAATGATGTTAGAACACAATTTTTTGCTTTCAAAAATCAAAAACAAAGTATTTCAAGAAGTCTCTCTTCAGGAACACAACTGTTGGGTGCGGCATACCGTACTCGTTTGAATGCAAGTGTGGATTGTGCTAGATTTTTAATTGCACAAGGATTGGCTTTTCGTGGTCATAATGAGCGAGAGAGCTCATTAATTACCTTGTTGTAGGTTATAGACCAGGTCAATCTGGAAATGAAGAATCGCTTTAGTGAGTCAAATACAGATTTACTCGCTTGCTTAGCTTGCCTTGATCCTAAAGATAATTTTTCCAATTTCTGTGAGTCAAAGCTACTCAGTCTTGCGGAGTTATATTCATCTGATTTTTCAGCTGTTGAGCAAATGGAGCTTAAAGAACAACTCCAAGTTTGGATATATGAGATGAGAGGAAATGAAGCATTTTCCACTTTACAAAGTATTGGTGAAGTGTCTAAGAAGATGGTTGAGCTTATAATTCACAAATCTTTTCACTTGGTCTATGGTCTTATTGAGTTGGCTCTAGTGTTACCAGTTGCAACAGCCACAGTTGAAAGAGCTTTCTCATCGATGAATATTATCAAGACAGATCTTCGCAATAAGATGGGAGATGACTATCTTACGGATTGCTTAGTATGCTACATCGAAAGAGACATTTTTCAAGCAATTGATAATGAAGCTATTATGCAGCATTTTCAAAATATGAAAACTCGTAGGATTGATTTGCCTAGGTTGCAGAAGTAAATCAAGTAGTATGTAATGAACTATAATTTTTTGTTAAATTATTACGCTATTGTTGTTCTTATTATATTTTGGACACGAACTTTAAAATTTTTAGTCTTTGGTTTGCCCCTCCTTGGACAAACCTCTGGCTCCGCCACTGTATGCATCTCTGAGTTTGTCAACACAGGGCAAAGAGGGAGCTGTATGGGTTAAGGATGCATCCATATGGGGAAATCGATGTTCTTACCGTTGTCAAACAACTTTGAACGGCTGATAATCCAGAGCTAGGCAGACTGTTCATTCATTCGATAGTGAAGTCTGAGATGTTTAAATATCTTCCGCATGCGGCAGTTGCGAGAGTCATCGCGGCTGGATTTTGTCCGACGCACTAATGGAAGAACTGAAGTAGAGGTTGGGAGAAGTTCGTTGAACTTGGGATGCAAAAGTGTGGAGAACCCGACAGTTGGCGATGTAGGAGGCTGTCACTCTGTCAGGAGGTTGTGACCGCTGCTGACCTGTGAGAGTTGGTTCTGGAAGGGTCTTCCGTTTTGTACATTCTAATAGTTAGCATTAGATTCAACAGGTATGTATGTATATTGGATTCAATAAGCTCTTCTAGGAGTGTTGATGGGTTTATTTTATTTGGGCTTACTTTACCCTTAAATAAATGAGCTATTCATGAATGGCCCATCCAAATATTAGGTAATTAGATGTCATAAATTAAATGGGCTGATGTAGATTGATCACGTGATTTTGACTTTAATGAAATGGTTTGAAAATTAAATATGAAGTAGATTTTTTTTTAGAGAGCGGAAGATTCTTCTTTTATAATTGTTGATTTGCAAATTATATCATTTCAAGAAGTAATTTTTGTGCGAATATAGTTACCAAAATAAATTTAGGGATAAGAAAGTATCATCTAAGTACCGTTGTTTTAAAATTCTATGCATTTACTTCTTATCTATTTTTGACCTATTATGACAGTTTATTTTTCAAGAGTCCATGGAAATTGCTAAATTAAAAATAAATAAATTAATAAATAAATAAAATTAAAAAATTAGTAAAGTAAAATCTGTATTTTATTTGCATTTTTAAAAATAATTTGTATCTTCTATCATTTTTAAATTCTACATTGTAGTTTTATACTATGTCAGTTTTTCATGTATTTAATTTATTTTAAATTTGTTTTAGTATTTATCCTTTTTGACATTTTTAATACTTTTTATACCTTAATTTATATATTTTAAAGTTTATATGTATTTAAAACATACATTCAATTCTCTCATAGTAGTCTTTTGAGGTTCAATTCTCTACAACCATTGGTAAATCTTATTGTTTATATTAGGGAAGTTTATATGTATTTAAAGCATACATTCAATTCTCTATGACCATTAGTAAATCTTATTGTTTATATTTGTTTTATATGTCAAACTTTACGGATTATTATAATCCTAAACTATTCAAATAAATTTACAAGTTTCGATTAGGGAAGTTTATATGTATTTAAAACATACATTCACTTCTCTACTACCATTGGTAAATCTTATTGTTTATATTTGTTTTATGTCAAACTTTACTGATTATTATAATCCTAAACTATTCAAATAAGTGTACAAGTTTGTTTGTTGTATTAAATTTGATTAAAAACAATTACATCTGTGAAATTTCACCAACCGTGTATCGTACGAGTGTTCTGCTAAGTGCACAGTCAAGGTGGCTAGATTGAGTGTGTTTTGAAAATAAATGTGTATATACTCCATTCGTCCCAAAATAAAGTTCACGGTTTGATCTACACATATATTTATGTAGGATAAAGTTTTATTTTGACTTTCCATGTATATCCCCACTTTATGTCAAATCAAGCAAAATGTAGATAAAAAGTAAGGGTAGTTGCGACATTTTGTCTAAAAGTAGTTTCTTTATAAAGAAATGTGAACTTATGTGGGACATCCATAAAAGGAAAGTGTGACAAAAGGTGTTAATTATTATAAACTCATTATCATCTTTAGATGTTATCTTGCTATTCCAATGTTGAATGTGATAATACCCAAACATGACTTATTAAGTCATTACTATAAACAAAAGTCAAATGCAATCGTCATGTGTTATGAAAAAACATGTTTTAGTCATGATTGACTTTGTGTGACTGTGTCAACAATAACTACAATAGACACTACACTTAGGAGGTCATGCTGTCATAAAGTTTTATTTTATTCATAATGATGTAAATATTTAAAATAATTTTATACAAAAATACCTAAGTTTTGTCCTCTACAATAGTAGAAGAAACTATTTGGACCCTTGATTTGCATTGAAGTATAGTTTAAGTATAGTTTAAGAATGACATCACACCCTTTCACATATCTCGACCCCTGATTTGCCTGTTCACACAGGCAATTTGTCTAAAAATCCAATTCGTATAAACATGCAATCACCTTATAACTTAGTCACTATAAATAACTTGCCTTCACTTAATATACATAATCCATGGAAATGAGAAATATTTTCCCAAAATATTCTCCACATTGCTTCACATGGAGAAATATACCGGCAATCCTAGTACAGTTTAATTTCATCAACAGGTTTGTCAGTGTCATCTTTATTTGATGTTTCATAAAATCCTGTTGTGACACAACCATGTCCCTTGTTGACGTATTTGAATAAATATTTAATTGACCTCGTTTGATTGCACCACTCGACATTAAGACGAGCGTCGTACCTCATCAATAACGACCTGTTGTGGGGGACAACATATCTATTGTCAAGCGATGCACCACTTTTGACAATTGTTATGTTCTTCCATCGTTCCGCCTCCTATATTTAGGATAACTTTTTTCATCAACGTTAGTTCGCTCGCTGAACTTCTTTATGAAGTGCTTTGAACATTTAGACCGAACCATGCAAGGGGCGTTCCTTGCATCACTGCCACGTGGTCCGTGCATCATATGTGTGCATACTACTTTAAAATATTCAGGATCACTACTCTCGTCAGGTATTTCAACTCATATAATGCGGTCAATGTTTGCTGGGCTGGGAAATTTGTCTACATTCCCCATGAATAATAAAATATGAGCATGCATCAATCCACGCTTTTAGATTTCAATTGTGTAAGTCACTGCGATCATAGAATATAACAATGTCGTTACACACATAGACACAAATATATAAATGTGTGTAGATACACACACACACACACACACACACACACACACACACATATATATATATATATATATATATATATATATATATATACACACACATATATATATATATACATATATATATATACATATATATATATATATACATATATATACATGATATTTGTTGAGGTTTATTCCTTCAACCCGCAGGCCCAACACGTAACCTGGGGGTTGCGACTGGAAGGTGGACAAGTAGATGGAGAAAAAAAAGGAAAAATGGCCCAACAAAGGAGTGTTTATTCACTGGACTATTACAAGCCGAAGGGCCGAACGTATAATGTTGTGCTACGTGCTGATACTATTGCTAGAGGGCTAGAGTGCTAATTTGCGAACCCTTTACAGTGAAATAAATGCTACTACCTTCGTCCCACTAACATTGGGACGGAAGAAGGTGGCACGATTATTAAGAAAAGTGAGTTTATGTAGTTGATATTGAATTGATAAAGTACGAATAAAGTAAGAATGATTAAGAGTCACACAAGCTTTACCAAATATGGTATGGGACAATCTTAGTGGGATTTCCAAAAAAGGTAAAATGAGACAATCTTAGCGGGATGGAGGGAGTACTATTTATACTGCCCAGGGGTGGTTGGATGTGTTGACGTGGCTGGCTATGGGCGACATGATCTCAACCACCAAATCTCCCGCATTAAATGCGCTTCCCGCCTGGATCTTGGCTTCCCACCTGGATCTTGGCTTCCCACCATGGAATGGGGACGTTCGTCCCCAAAGACCGGGCTTATGTCTCCTATTAGAGTCCCTATCCTCTGCTGAGGGGAGGGGACGTTCGTCCCCATGTACTTGGCTATCGTTGACATACTCTTAGGATGTCCTTAGTATCCTGTCACGAGGTGGGGATGTCCGTCTCTATGTACCTTGTGGGAATCTTGGGCCCGGATGCCTTGATATCTGCTTGATAATTGGTTACGTACGTCTCCTGACCATTGGGCCTTGGCACCTTCTAGTAGTAGGATACGTGTGTCTCCTGGCTCTTGGGACTAATGCTTGGCCTTCTTCTTGGGCTTTTAGTAGGACGTTTGTAGGAGATCCTTGTGGGCCTTCTGGGGATGTTCGTAGGAGGTCTTTAAGGGTTGATGGGCCGGCCCGTATCGGGCCATTAACCTAACACAAGTCCCCCACTTCTGATGTTCCGAGCGTGCGCGGGACATAGAGAAGTAATACGTTTCCGCCGTGCCGTCTTGAACCGCCATCCCTACTTCCGATGTGATGGTTGCTTCTCTGGCCTACGTTCACGGGGCTCTAGGCGGCAGTTGTGCAGGCTGGTTCAACTTCCCATGTAAAACTAATCATTTCGCGCATGTCCGTCTCTGCGCGACACGTGCCTCTAGGTACGCTCCCCATCACGTGTTGTCTGTGGATTGGCCAATGGAGAGGCGTACCCTCCTATAAATACCAGATCTTTTGGAAAGATTAGGGTTTTCAGTTCCTTGTTTGATTCTCGAGTGCTTCCAGCATTCTTCTGCAAGCATTCTCCGGCTCCCTTGTCGAGCTTCGTTCCCAGTTGTATAGGTAACTTCAACTTCGATCCCTTCTTCCTTTGTTTTTACCCCGGAAGGCAAACCACCAAAATCAGTGGGGCAAATGTCGGGGGTCAGATGCCAGATTTTATTAAAATAAGAGAGTTACAAAAAGATGGGGACTAGGCCAATACTTCTTAGACAAAAGAAACATAGCTGAAAATTAAAATCTAATCGAGGGAATACCAAACAGATCCATAAAGTAAGCTCGTTGGGCTTGAATAGGAAGAGAATGCGGCCGAGTAAAAAAAATTGGAAGATAGCCTGTATGAGTTGAAGCTAGATAGTGGGCTACCCAGTTGCTTTCACGTAGACAGTGTCCGAAAACCATCTTCTTCCTATCTGCAATCAGCCGACTTTCCTGAAGGAGATCAGACCGTCTTCGAACATCCTTATTCCTCATCAGTTCCAAAGCTTCACTCGAGTCAGATTCCACCTGAAGATCAACAAATCCTTCATTATCTGCCCATTCAAGAGCATACATCAGCGCTTTAAGTTCAGCTTCAACCGGAGAAGACGCTGTGACTGGGAAGCTCGTCGCACAGATCATCTCGCCTCTACAGTTTCTGATTATCGCTCCCCCCGTCGCACCATGAGCTAAGTAACTCGCATCTGTATTCAATTTGTTCTTGCTTCGATGTTTCCGCCATTTAACAATTTGAAAAGAGCTAAATCTTAGATTTGCGTAAGGCTGTATCAATAGTTCATCTTTCAAAATCTTGAAATTTGTTCGATTCTTCATGGGGGGGGGGGGGGGGGAAGCTTAAGGACCAATTTTGATTATATAATTTAATTTGGAAAATTATACTATCAGAAGTAGGAGAAGAGACCCCATCACCCCATATCAATTTAGTATAATTTTTCCAAATAAACCAACAAATGATACCTGACAGATTGTGTTTGAAAATATTCATAATTCCTTTTTCACCTGACTGAAACCACCATTTCCTGAATACTTGTAAGATAGAATCAGCTGCTGAGAATGGTATACCACATATCCCCATGAAATACCGCCAAATAGGTTTGACAATATTGCATTGAAAGAA